GGTTGGTGTTGTCATCGTCGGCGTCGTCGTCGTCGCTCACGTCCGAAGAACCGTCGGAAGAAAGGTACCCCACGCACTTGTACTCTTGGAAAGATTTCCGCCGGAGGAGGGTCGCGGCGTCGAGGGCCCGATAGTCGGCAGAGGTGGGCTGTAGGATATAGACCTGGATTGTTTGAAGAGGGAAAGGCGGCATGTTACGTTAAAGGGTCGATGCGCACAGGAAAAAAAGGGGCAAAGTTACATAGCTGCATAGGGCGGGAACGAGAGGGACAGGAAAGTGACGCGTGCAAGTCAAACACGACACGGGCGTGCAACGAGCGTTTCGCGAAAGGATGGTGCTGGTTGTCATCATCGAACACAGGTGGCCGACACGACTATACGGATCTTCCTCGACCCGAGAGCAGAGCTGACCTGCACCAGAGGGGTCAGGATGTTGACAAAATATGTGCTGCTGCTGCCCTAACACAATGCCAACACAATGCAGGCGTGACACGCGAACAGTCCGCACCTTCTCACAGAAGCCCTGAGCTCCTTCGCCAGGTCGCGGGCAGCTTCGTCGGAAGAGGTCTTGATCACCCAGGACTTCGGCGGGATGATGGATCCGACGCCGTCGCGGTCAAAGATTCCTCGGTGTGTGGCAAGGAGTTGGCGGAAATGGTATCCGTTCTGCACGAGGATAATTCCTGTGCCCAACAGAAGGCAGTAGGTCGTGTCTGATGACATACGGTCTCGCGGCGGCGGCGACGATGCCCTTGCTTGAGTGCAAACTCAAGCAAGGGCCAAGTTGATGTTTGGAGTTGGGGTAGAAGAAGATTGTGGGAGGAGTGGGGGATGTCGTACAAAAAAACAAAAAACCGGGGCCAGCGCAGAACACAGGCAGATGGCGTCGACGCAGAACCACCGACGTGGCACAGTACAAGCAGCTGCTCCTGGGCTGGTGTGGTGACGTTACAACAGCGTGAAATATCCCGCCCATCGCCACTGAAGGGATCAGAGGATGAAAGTATCTCAGCGGGCGCGTACGTACGCACGTGTTGCCCGCTGGATATACCCGAAAGAGGCGTTTTGGTTTTCCAGCGGCACTGTTGGCCGGACTGTGAGAGAAACGTCCCGAGACGTCCCAACGTGCCGAAACGTCCCGCGGGCGGGACGACGGCGCCTTCAGCCTGGGATTGTATCATCGTAGCAGTGTTCCGGAGGAATGCGTTTGCGCGTTCACGTCCACGGCGTACGTCCTGTATGCATGCTTGTCGTCGATTCCCACGCAAAAAGAGAGAAGTTTAGCCTGTCTTTTTTTTTTCCGTTGTGTCCAATGTCTTTTGCACCTGACCTCGTGGTATCCAACGTATAAAGTAGACCACATTGTTCCCTGCCACACACACATGCGCGAGCTTACGGCCTGCCGTCAATGATGCCGTTACTATTCGGGGTTTGGATGATTTCTTGCGGAAGGGAGAGGTCCGCCCTTGTGGAAGGGGGGCTGTTCCTCATTCAACTCGAATTGTAGAAGAAGAAAAATATATTCTCACTACGAAGAAGACAACCGAACTTTCCGAAGACGAGGACACGGCCTGTTTCCCCGCGAAAGTGTAGTCCGACCTCGACAAAACTTAAACTTCCCATCCAAGTCTTCTACTGCTGTTTCAGATGTCACGTCTTCAATCGTGTCTCTCTCCCCCCCCTCTTTCCCCTGCTGCACAAGTATTGTAGTCCAACCATCCTACTTATTTTCCTCTCTCACCCTTACGACATGCTTGTTCCCCTCGTCTTGTTTTTCTCCCCTGTTTCTCCTCGAAAGTAGATAGACTTTTTTGTTCACCCTGTTTCCCGTCGACATGTGTTCTAGCCCAACCATGTGTTCACCTCACACCCTTGCGACATAATCTTTTGCCTTGTCTTTTTTTTTTCCTTGTTTATCCTGGATCGAGACTTTTATTGTCCCACTGTTTCCCCTGAACAAGTATTCTAGTCCAGCCAAAGTCTTGTCTTGTTTTTTCGTTTTTTCCCCCTGTTTCTCCTTGATAGGAGACTTGTTTTTTCCCCCTGGTTACCCTGAACAAGTATTGTAGTCCAACCAAAGTCTTCCTACTTCCGTTTCCCACGCATCTCTCACCCTTCAACTACATGATCTTTCCTGGATAGTAGACCAAACCTCAACCATAAACGCCTTCCAATCCTCCCTATTCTTGTTTCCTACGTGTCATTATCGACTCCAATATCTCTGTTTAATACGAACTTCATTGCCATCGATCGCTTCAGTACTGCCGTTGTCGTTCACGGTTATCAGTGTAACGTCGTCGTCTTTCTTGTGCATGCTTGCAGGATCTACAACGTCATAGTCAGCATGTTCACTCACTTTTATCCGTCAAATTGCTTTGCAGACGTGTCCGACGACAACGAGATAATCGACCTGGCTGGTGAGTCAAGCGAAGATTTCCTCGACGACTTCATCGAGGAAACTGACGACGTTGACGTGGGCGAGTCCGACTACAAGCCGGAGAACAGCAAAGGTGATGTATAATTTTACCGCGTACATGTTAACCGTTCCGTCGTGCGGCCGGTCGCATATGCATTCTCCGCTTCGTCCCTCTGTGCCTTGCGTTCTTGCCCTACGTCGGTACCATTGGTTGAACTCTTTTCCATCCATGTCCTTCCCTTCATTGCTTAGTGCGGCATCTCGGGTCGCGCCAACATTGTACCTTTTCGATCCTCATACTCTATTTTTGCCCTTCCTATCTTCCGACGCCGCCAGCGAGGACGACAGCGACAGCGACAGCGACAGCAGCAGCGAAAGCAGCGGCGACAGCAGCAGCGACAGCAGCAGCGACAGCAGCAGCGACAGCGACACCGGCAGCGACGACAGCAGCAGCAGCAGCTGCTGCGCCAGTGATAGCGAGGACGGCGACGACGACAATGACGTCGAACGCCCAGAGTCCAAGGTTGCATGCCCCCTCACGTCCGGCAACGACAAGGAAGACGATGTCGCACGGCCACCGTGGAAGAAGCCCAGGTACACACCTTTCCTGCATTGGTTCACCTCTCTACCTATTACACATTTTTTTTCTGTTTTTTTCCTGTAGAAACCAGTGCCTCACATGACGCTTTCTCCGCATCTAGGCACTAGCATTTCCACATTCGACATTGGTATTACCTGGACCAATTTGTGCATATGTAGTGCTTTACGCGCACGTCCCCGTACCACGTCGCCTCCCCTGTTTTGTCCTCCTTAGGCGCCTCTGAAAGGTCGTCCGGTTCGCGCGGCCGTGGAGCGAGTGCATCCTCGCACCAGGCGCAAACGTCCTTGGTCGTGGACAAAAATCTCCCCGCAACGACTCCGCCGGGGCCTCCGACCGTGGACGGCGCTGAACTTCAAGTTCATCACCGCTCTGCACGTTACCCTTCGGCCGCAGGGACTACGAGCTCGCGGGGGGAGGGTAGTCGTTCATCCTCGACTCCTGGCCAGGCGTCCTTGTTAGGGGGCCGAAGGTGCGACTTGTGCTTCGGTCTTTACCATGCGACTTGGATGTCGGCATCATGCTCACCTCGCCAACACGTCCCCCGCACCTCTTCGCTTTTCCCATGGTTCCCAACACGTCCTGTCTCGCACTCCATCTTGTTTTCTTATCCCTCCTTTTCATGCCGTCCCCCTCATTCCCCGCAGCTGACGACCACGTGCATGAGAAGGACGACGATCACCCCGCGACGCCTTCGCCTCGACGATCCGGTAGGCGTCCTAGTCCTTCCGCTCGGGCCAGGGCTGTATCTGCAGCTGCCGCGTCTTCCGCGGGCAGAGGTGCGTCCTGTTTGAATCTTTGTAACGCGTGTCGAACTTCTCGTGCTCATGACATGGCGGTTGGTTACATGCATGGCACCCAACACTAGCGCCTGTTGTGTTCACGTCGCCCACCTCCACATCTACAGACGCCGTGTCTCTTGCCGCTGCTCTGTACGCCGCCTCCCTTCGTTCCCCTTTTTTTCTCCTCCCTACGTTCGTCCCGTGTCTCCAGATGCCCGGGGGGCTGCGACATCCGCCGACGCGCTCTCTCCTGCCGCTGCCAGTCCGGCTCGTCGTGGACGTGGCCGTCCCCGCAAGGAGTCTCAAGCACCCCCCGTGCCCAAGCGGCGCCGCCGTCGACCCCCCAATGTTCGTCCAGACACGCCATCTCCGAACGGCGGTGCTGTCGGTTCGTCTCCTCCTGCAGCTGCTGCTGGTCCTCCTGCGCTTCACACACCGGACGCCACCGAGCCAGGTTCCTCCCGTTCGACGCCAGCCGCTACCCTGCGTCGTGGGCCTGGGCGCCCTCGTAAGCAGACCAACACGTCGGCAACGCCCGTCCGCATTTGTCCGACCACAGGAGACAAGGTTGACGACCTCCTCGACAGCGGCATCGGAGCACAACACGACTTCTCTTTGACCATCTCCGCCAGGAACAGCGGGAACGTTGAGTCTCACGTCTTCGAAGATGTTGACAAATACTTGCAAGAGCGAATGGTGCGAGGGCTCGTTAGCCTGGAGCGGGGAAACGTCCACGGCAACCTACACCTTCAAGGTATCCTTACGGCGGGGTTGGTGAAGTACTTTGACGACCCCAGGAAAGAGGAAGCCGCCATGCGGAAAAGCATCCGCCAGGCGTGCGAGTGGAAATCGCATGTCAAGGTCAAGATCGTCATAAAACGTCTGATGCGGCAGCAGACGTTCAGCGGTGAGCATCATTTTCGTCCTCACACGAACTTTATGTTTTCCTCTTTGTTTTCCTCTTCTTGTGTCCGCCACCTTTTCGTCTTTGTCTTCCTCGTGCTAGACGTTAGCATCTTATTTCTGGCGTGCCTTGTTGCTTTTTACCTACCTCATGTTCCTCGATACGCCACTTACAATTTTTTTTCCTGCCCGATGCGCTCCTCTTTTTTGTCCTTCCTTCTTATTTGTCAGGTATGCTCGGGTACTGCTCGAAGGATCAGGGGCGGCCACACTTCAAGACCTCGAGCAAAGGGGTTTCGCAGACGGAGATAAACGTCGCCCTCGCGGAGTACCGCAAACTCCAACGTGTGTGCGTGACGGAGGATCGAGTGGAACTCGGCAAGAAGAACTTCTGGGGTCTACTGCGTCGATTCAAGTAAGATCACACTTTCAGTCGTTAATGTCGTGCTCGGCTTCCAGGTCCAACCTACACACCTTCTTGTATTTTTCTTAATATCACACAACGAATCCAGAGTCTAAGATAGATTAGCGATGAATCCATACCACACACACCTCTTGTCTTCTTTTCCTTTCCCCTCTTCCATTCCTCTTTTGCCTGCAAAAGTAATGCATCTTACATTCCCTTGCCTGCATGGCTTCAATTTCATTAGTAAACTAAATTGTTTGTGTGTATCCACTCTAACCTCCCATCCCCTATTTCGCCCGTGCGCCTTCCCAGGCAAGAACACCTACGGGGCATCTTCGTGTCCCCCCTCCAGATGGTCACGTGGATCATCCAAGACCAGCAAGCCGTGCCGTCCTCATCGTGGATCTGCCCCAGCAGCGCCTTCCCCATGGACGCCGCGCGTGCTGACGCCTTCGGCATCGCCCTCTTCTGCCCATCCTTGTTCATCCGCAAACATGCATACCTGCTGTTCTTCGCGGGTGGACAAGGTGACCGCATAATCACGTCACACGAAGACTGGGACACGCAGGACCGGGAATTCGCTGATATGACCGTCGACCAAGCGAAGGTTTGCTCGCATGATCACCTGGAACTGGAGGGCGCCATGGACGCCGCCCGTGAGAGAGCCGTTCGTGAAGTCGCGAACGCCCGGCGCTATCTTCCCGGGGTGGCCAACTTCGGCTTCGGCCCCGACTCCGACTCCGACGCAACATCCGACGTGGGGGCCCGCGCGGCACCGCCGCCGCGATCTCGTCGGGTGTGGGCTGGTATCGGCCGCACAAGCAACGACTTCTCCGAGGCGAACGAGCCTCTCCCGCTCATCGTCAGCCCGAAGTGCATTGAACCAGGGTGTACGAACGCCGGGAACATGGGCATGATCTCCTGCGGACGCTGCCATGGTGATCTTCACCGAGGCTGCGGAGTTTCTGGAGGCGGCAACCATGACGACGAGTGCGACTCCTTCGTCGGCCAGCGTTGCACTCCGTGCGCATACCCTCGGCGTGGAAAGAAAAGAGCCCGATCCTCGTGATGTGGGGGTCTTCACTATTCTGCTTCAGTTGTAACATATTTCTTTTCGTTGACTTTTTTGGCCGGGTTGGCATGTGTGTTCATCTCTTCGGCGTCCCTTTCGTACGTAGTTATCCATTGCATGAGCGTTTTTTTCGTCTTCCGTTTGTGTTTCATCACCGCTGGTGGCCTTCGTCGTTGCCATAAGGAAAGTTCTATTGCCCTAGGATATCTAGCCGACCGACTGTCTTTAGCCTTTCAAGACCGTGCCGTGACGCTCGTCTCTTCCCATTTTTTCTTTGCGCAGGTTTGTCTTGTAGTCACGATGGGATCATGGCTTCTATAGCGTTCCCATCCCTTTCGTTCGGATATTTCCGTGCAGCTTGCGGACAGATTCATGTCGTTTGCGTGCATGTATTCGTGTATTTAATCCCCATCCACATAGTTTCCCTTGGTTTCTCTTGCGGTTCGTCTCCTTCGTAAGGGTCTTTATTCATCATTGCCATGTCGTGTGTTGGACTATCCGTCGTGCTTGTGTATGAAGGGATATCGTCCTCGTCCCCGGTGTCATGCTCAAGAGTCCGATACCGTAGGTAATGTCGTCCACGCTCTTCACCTTTTGCAGTGCGACCGGTTATCTCCATTGTACGGTCGTCTCGTCGTCTCTTACCATGTTTTATTTCAGATTTGTCTCTACTCACCGTGGGATCAGGGGTTTTCTAATAGAAGAGTTCCCGTCCCATTCCTTAAGATGCTTGGGTGCAGCTTGCCGACTGTTTCGTGCTGTCCGGGGCGAAGTTCGTCCGATGGATCCCCGTCCACAGAGGTCTCGCAAGTTTTGCGGTAGGTTCGTCTCCTGTCTAGGGCCGATGTTCATAATTTGTTGCCTTGTGTGTCTTCGACTAGGCGTCGTTCTTGTGTATGAAGGGAACCCGTCTTGGGTCGACATGGTCGGGGGTTGCCATATTTCATTGTTGTCCCGAACTCTGCCGTACACCGCGTGTCATTCCATTCGTCTCGGAACTGAACGTGCGTGGTTCGAATGCGTTCCACTTCGGAGTTGCGCTAATACATGGTAATTTAAACAAGCTTCAAACGAGTGCGGCGGACCTCCCAAAGATGTATGCGGGATGTTGAATTATGCCACACGGATATCGCCAAGACGGAATATTGAATGTGTCATAATAAGAAAAATAAAAAATAAATAATTGCCCGACAAGGCTTCGCGAAGCCAGATTGCACACGATACGTTTGCAGCAGTGCTCACATGCACACGACCGGTCGGATGATCACACCATGTGTGACGAAGGCGAGGATGGCCGACCGCCAGCACAATTCCGCCACGCACCCAGTATCACACATTCACGAACAAGCGCAAAGTCAACCTTCAACAAGACATGACGGCGTATTTTTAATTTATTTTTATTTAATTATTTTAATTTCTTTCCATTTCTCCTCCTATATATACACCCGTGGCCATTCGGCTCAGCCACAGGGTTGGGGGGGGGTCGACGTTTTGAGGACGCCCCCCATTATCACATGGCTGGGGTTAGGTAACCTGGGCAAGGTCAAGTACCTGGGCAGGGTTCGGCACTAAACGACCTTTTGGGGACGCCCCCCATTATCACATGACTAGGGTTAGGTAACTTGGGCAAGGTCAAGTACCTGGGCAGGGTTCGGCACTAACGACTTTTTGGGGACGCCCCCCATTATCACATGACTAGGGTTAGCTATACTGGCTCTCTGTGGTCCAAGATCTCACATGCATACGCGTACATACACAAATCACGGCGGCAAGGATGGTGCAGCAGTGAGTCCATGAGTGGGGCTCACAGGGATGGGAACGCGGGTATATTTAGGGGTGACGAACAGTAGTACTTATATACTGCTGTACTGCTGTACAAAAGTAGAATGGGGAGAGAGAGAATTGCAGCAGTATGTAGTATCTGGGTGCATGTGCAGCCTGTCTCCGACAGCAACCATCCGCACAGAGGATGTACCTGTGCAAGCAATACCTCTGCTGGCACATCTTCTTTGGCTCATACCTGGACAAAGCATTCGGCAAGTGCATAGTCTATGCTATTATTAAAGCAGCTCTAGATGCGAAGACGCTGACGGGAAACCGCCTCACAGAAGCACCAGATAGATCATGCAAAAGCAACAGCCCACTCAGCAAATCGAGACCACCATCCACAATCGCACAAAATGCAAAAACTTCGTGATATATGTTTCACTCCACAATTAATATAACCAAACGAATCCATCTCTGGCCTTCTGTTCCGGGTGCGATCGGATCTTGAACGAAACATTTTCGGGATAGAAGCGAAAGAATCCGGCTCCTCTAGCTCCTCTCTCTTTTCCTGTGTCTCTGTGTGTCGATTCTCTCAGCTTTGATTGAATAAATAGCCCTGCTTATCACGCACGGCTGCCTCCGAGGTCCGCTTCCCCTTTTGGAATATGGGTGAGTGGTTGGTTACGACGAACGAAGTGTTCTCCAATCAAACGAGACACGAGACTCGGCTTTTTTTGCAGTTTTTTTTGCCGAATTCCTTGCGGAAGTGTAGCCTTTTTGCACACACACACGTTCTGTCTGCAGAGTCGGCTCTTGCCTGTATGCGTATATCAACTATCTACCTGCATCTGCAATCCGTGTCCAACCTGCCGGTGCGTTCCCTTCTCGATGTGGAACATGAAAGTTCTCGCAACGACACGCGCCCAATTATTTGCACACGGACGAGCTTGTCTTGTGTCAGTATCTTCTCGCGATGACACCACTTTACTTGATGATGTACTTGTATGTGTTGTTCGCCGGTTCGCTGAAAGAATTTTGCCAAGCTAGCACCCGGGCGTCCTAACGGAACGTTCGGTACCGGTGTCTTTCTTATGATCGTGTCTTTGGCTGCAGCATGGTCCTCTGCGCCAGCTTTGTTGTGCGTGTGGTGCGTTGGTTATATGTATACTGTATGTAGCGTCCGTCTGGTACCAAGCAAGGTGGTCATCATGCATGATGACAAAAAGGTGCGTTTTTCGTAGCGATCCGTTCTCACTTGTCAACAAATAGCCGCCGCCGCAGCAGCGTATGTAGCAGTCTCCGCTACCCTTACACACTGCTGCTGCTGTAGCGACCGCCTCATTTTCCGTGTGGAGGCTGGCGAGAGACGCTAGATACACGAAATATAGACGTGAAATTCTGAGGATCTCACATCTTACCCAGGGCCCTGCACCACAGCAGCAGAGTCTCAACCGTCGGCAATCCCGCCGCATTCGGAAACGGCTGGTTCAGATTTCGTTCACGTCCAGAATACAAAGTCGTACATATGAGGGAAACCAACATGCCAACGATTCGGAATTTGTCGGAGTCGGGGTATCAAATCATCCATCACTATCGCGCGCGCACCTCCACAGGGCCAGGTGTCATGTACAATCTCGCCGCCGTGATACCGTTTCATGTTTCCAGGTCGATCTTCTGTGCTCCTCGCCTCTCCTCTCGAGCGCACAATCCAACTAAAGGACGGTTGGGGATCTAATTCCCCACAACCACCACAGGGATTTCTCCGAGCCCACTATGAACCATGTGAGGAGGGCTTCGTCACCAGTCGTACCTGTGCTGTGAATGAAATCGAAGGCGCCATACATACATGTAGTCAAGTGTACGTGCGCGTTTTATCTGCGGATTGCACTAAATATTCTTTTTTACCTATTGTAACTTGGGCTGCATGCGCATTTTTTTCGGAGACATTAGGAATTGCGATACACGGGGATTGATAGACTACCACGTTGCGCCCTCTAGAGGAACAGTATAAGGAGGCTAACACGACGCACTGTCATGAGCAGCAGCATGTTGCTTTCGAACACCAAGCGCGCGCATGTTGACACACGGAACACGCTGTATGCACTCGCTCTCGCCTCCCCTTGTTCCTTGATCCTGCAGATGTGCGCGTAATCTCAAGTTTGATCCAATCGTCGAGGCCTGTGCATGACAAAGTATGAGAGCAACACCAACAGCAAGGCTCCTCATCTTCATTGTACCATGCATCCTACCACCGGCGGCAACAATGCCCCGAGGAGTGGAAAAATCATTCCGAAGAAATTTCCAGGAAGAACAGCCGCATCAACAAGCGCAGAGGAGCAACAGCCTACACTCAACAACCACGGCTATGACACGAAAGGATGAAAGGGTAAGTGAGGTTCTGTGCCTCGAATAGATCCTTCGGAACTTACGTTCGGAGTCGTCTGAGCAGGCTGGTATACAACTCCTATCCACAAGAGATAGGTCAATACCCAATATTCGCTTTGCACTACGGTATATGTTTGCGCATGCCCTGACCAATTGCACCGAGACCCCACATTACTCCCTAGTGTTGGCTGAAGGATGCAATGATACCGTACAGGCAATTCGCAAGAACTCCCACGTAACTTGGGAAGTCATCGCTGTGCTATTGCTAGAACAATAATATAACAGGTACAGTTTTCGGATTATTCACGTTCGACTCCAAACGTACTTTCCTCCGAGGTATTCCGATACGGGACGAGTTAATCTAATGTGGAGGTGGAGATGAATCTGTCCAACTTTAACTCGATGCTGCATGCTGGTGGACGTCCGCAGGTGACTCCATTGGGAGATACTCAAGGTCTCGGCGGGCGATCCAGTACAGCTTCACCGCCGATTATCCCTACAGGTGGGCAACGATCTCCCTTTCTTCATGAAAGGGATTTATTGTCGAACCTGCAGCTTGGTTGTTTTCTTCCATTGTACTCTGTCGCTTTCTCAAAGTTGTGGAATTGAGCAAATAAAGGTGCGCCTCTCACTGTGGAATCATGAAGAACGTCGGGACCGAATCTAAAACAAAACGTTCGGGTGCTCGGATGTCTCCCAAAAGACGGCCGTCCTCGCCAAGTTTCTTGGCCAACCACCGCTTCACTCAAGCATTGTTTAGTCCTTCGGGGTAACGTGGACAACGCAATCAACACATCTCAGCGCAAGTTCCGTTCCCATACAGTTCTTGGAGAGTCACTACAGTTGGCCTTGCTTCGCCTCAACATAACCGTAGATGTTGCATCTCTAGTGGTAAATTTTCGATTCAAACCCCGTCCAGCGCATACATAGGCACCTCTGATGCATACATGAGCGTTGAAAACGCGTGCTCGAGAGTACACGTCAGGGACGGAACCGCAGAAACCTTCTCGCGTTACCAACCTGAAGACATGCACCACAGATTAGAAGTTGGAGGTAGAGAAACTGCTGATGGTACACATTAAGGGACAACGAAGCGCTCCTCCCTCAAAGAGCCCTCCCCGTTTGCCGTCGCCTCTCCCCTCCAATCTCCTATCAGAGACACAAGGAGACCTCGATTCGAAAGGCGCGGCCATAGCAAACCGTGGCGACACCACCAGGCAACTCGCCACAGAACGGCGACAACGAACACACAATTCCCGTACATCGTCACACGACGACAACGATAACAGCGACAAACGGGTGAACTCAACCAAGAAACTTCTCTCTGAACCAGAAATCCTTGAGGGCGCGGGGAGAACCTTGGACGAGACGGAATACCATCACCGGGACCTACGCACGGTGTCGGCAGCGGCGGCGGCGACAGCGGTCATGCCAGGGCCACCACCGAAGCAGACCCCGCTTCACACTGCCATGTACGGATTTTTCAAAGAAGAGGAAAATAACCATCCACTACAGAAGCCCCCTAGCACGGCCCTCCAACGGCTTCCCGGTCTCAGCGATGAAGACGGTTCGAGCAGCAGCCCGAGCGCGCTCTGGTCCACAAACACCCTTTCTTCCGCCATGTACGCCTCGCCCGCCAGGATAAGTCTGGTCGCCGAGCATCATGCTGGCAGAATCGGCGAGGCTTCCTCGGCGGCGCCTATAGCGGATGTGGTTGGACCGCTCAGTCCAAGCAGAACGCCTCGGGCAATGCCGTCGCCGCCCTCTAGTGCTGCTGACACACCGCTGCCGCCGACATCGGGAGAAGTCAACGACACACCAAACCCCTCTGAGGGGGCATGGGTTCCCTCGCCAACGTCGATCTCCCGTGGCTTGGTTGGCGACAGCCCATCATCGGCAACAACGGCGAGCGAGGCCGCGTCTAGGACACCATCGCCAACACCTCGCGCTGCCCCTTCGCGCTTTCGGACAACCGAATGGAGTACCCCCACCCCTAACACCAGCGGCCGAGGAATCGAGACACCACTCCCGACGGCAAAAGGGAATGGCGAATCCGTGGCCTTGCCACCAACCGCAAGACCAACCGAGCCACCATCACCCCAGGGCGCGGAGGCGCGACCTACGCCAAGCCCTGCGAGAGTGAGCCGTGTGCCGGCGGCCTGGAGCGGAGCGGACGAAGAGGTTGGGAGCATGGCACCAACAGCGGGCTTCCGCGGTCATCAGCCGACCCTGTCTGGGTCGAGCATCTTCACGTCGAGTCCAACGGTGGGAGGAACACCCCTTGCAGCTTCATCGAGACGGCCATTTCCCAGCGGGGACGACGGCGACGGCAGTGTTGCCGCGCCGACCTCCCTTCCGGCGTCACTCACCGGCCCTCCCGTTTCCGTAGGAGTTCCTATACCGAGTCCAACCATGGGAGGAGGAAGAGGAGAAGACGAGGAGGGAGAGGGGGAGGAGGGCATCAGTAGTGCTCTACAGCCAAGTTCAAGCGCAACGTCTACGCCGACACCTACCGGGTTCCACGCAGGATTCCCGACTAACAGCCCGGCGGAGAGGACACGTGGCATTAGTTTCACGCCTGCACCCTCCTCAAGCTCGTCAACAGCAACCGCGGATGGAGCTGGGCAAGAGGAGAGCGAAGAACAGAGTGAGACTGCCTATCCCAGCAGCCTGGTCTTTACAGCACCGCCGTCGACAGGAGGGAAACGGGAACGTTCATATGCACCTACTTCGTTTCCCCATCCGAGCCCAGCCAACACGGCATCGCCGACGACGTCTTCAATGGAGGAAACCCGAGGCGTGGCGTCCTCACCCGCACCTACACCGTACCCTGACCCGAGCACGGACACTACGTCATCGGACGGATACTCGCCCGCACCTACATCTTCTCCTCACCCAACGGAAGCCTATGTTACAGCATCGCCGACGGCGTCTTCGATAGAGGAAACCGGAGGCGCGACGTTCTCATCCGCACCTACCTCGCACCCTGACCCGAGTCCAGTTATTACGTCACCTTACCCAACCGAAGCCTCTGTTACAGCATCGCCGACAAGGGATTCGAACGGAGAAAGTCAAGATGGTGTATCCTCGCCGGCACCTACAGCTACTTCCTATCCTGCGCAAGATTCTTCGTTAGCACCAACAACGATACCGACAGCAGGGAATCGAGGGAGCTTATCATCGTCCACGCGTACACAATATCCGGGAACGATTCCCGATTCTACAGAATCTCCAAGTTCAAGTCCGCCTGTGGGGGATCAAGGTGGAGATGTCTCATTCGCGCCCAGTATACCTCCCGAACTTGGTTCTGTTTTTCCATCATCATCAGCACCTACGTTATATCCTGGTCCAAGCCGAGCTTCTACGATGTCTCCAACGGCGAGTTCGACAGGGGTGGGAAGTCAAGGTGGCGATGTTTCATCCGCGCCCACTACACCCCCCGACGTCGGTTCAGCAACGCCAGCATCGTCATCACCTACGTTAGATCCAGGCCAAGCTTCAACGATATTTCCAACGGCGAGTTCGACAGGAGTGAGAAATCAAGGTGGCGATGTTTCATCCGCGCCCACTACACCTCCCGACGTCGGTTCAGTATTGCCAGCATCGTCAGCACCTACGCGATATTCAGGCCGAGCTTCAACGATGTCTCCAACAGCAAGTTCGACAGGAGGAACGCAACAAGAAATTTTCTCGCCGGCTCCTTCTCCATTCACTCCCAGCCCCACCGTGGGCGGGCGTGGGGGCGCGGGGGACCAAACTTGGTCAACAGGTTCTCCTACCAGTTCTCCCACATTCCAGGGGCGAAAAAAGGTCGTTGATCAACGTTGGCCAACAACCGCCCCCACCAGCGTCGCCACGGCCCACGCGCCAACTCTTCCATGGCTGGTAAGAGTCTGTCGCGATAGTTCCTACTGTGGTGTTGGCCTGAAACAATACCAGAAAGAGTCACGAGATAGTTTGGGAGTCGTTTCCGTTCTCTGGGGGGTCAACTCTATTCTGTCTCTTACGCGAAATGGCGTCTGGAGAAGCCAAGGCACCCCCCGTTCAGCAGACTACACCCGTGCTCTTGAAAAGGGAAAATATGTTCAGCTGGCTATGCTCATCACATTGATGCACCAGGTCTCCCATGAACATGTTGTTGTCGAGTTTCCTGGGTGGTTGTCAGCGGGAACGTCCATACACCCCCCCAGTAGAAGCTTGTCCAAGGGTAAAACGCACGGGGTGGAAGGAGCTCAGGAGAGTTTTCAACCTCAGACCAGCTGCACCAGCAATAACTGTGTCAGAAACAGAAGCACCAGACACCTAAATGGTACAATCCAAGACTAGTTTCAGAAGATACTGGACTCAGTACCCCATCCGATCAACATCCTTCTTTGACAATCGTGTTTCTGTTTTGTATTGTCGGACGGAGACCAACTGATGCGTTTCGGGGTCAAGGTGTAGTACACGTTTTTACTCTCGTCGCGAAACGTGTACGCACACCCACCATATTAACGTTCCGCCTTGGTGCCCGGCCGGCAGGAAACTGGGTCGCCAACGACGAGCCACCATGCACACGGGACAGAACAAACAGATCGCCCGTTTTCAGCAGCCTATTGGCCAATGACGTCATCGTCATCACCCACTTCGGCACCAACATCACCACCGTCGCCATCATCGTCCAACGACAGCGGTTACGCTTCTCAAGGACCACGGTTCTCCTCGGCTCCAACAACGGCTGATGGTCAAGAAGACCCACACCTCCTAAGTTTTGCACCCACCTTGGCCTCCAGCTCGCCGGGTAACCGCGGGTTTGAGTTCAACACCGCTTCACCTACGTCTTCTCCAAGCGTTTCCTCGACGGCCACCGCTAGTGAAAGCGGCTGGAGTCAAATCGAACAGGATCAGCTGACGACGGGCTTCCCCACGACTTCTCCTAGTACCACCTCCAGCAAAACAGCTGCGCCTACATTTCCGGTGTCGACACCGAGAAGCGACGTCGAAGACGGTGTCTCGACACCAACGCCTACACGAGTTTCGGGTTCGGGAGGAGAGGAAACCCCTCCGCCCTCGGCAGCATTGTTCCTAACCCTAGTGCCTACAGCGCCCTCCTCTTCTTCGGGAACGCCAGAGCAAGGCGAGCGCGGCCTTGGCAGCGACAATGATGGCGAAGGGAACGAGACCTTCTCGCCGTCCGGGGCTCCTACTACCGCAATCGCTTCAGACGGAGGTCTTGATCGTGACGAGGGTGACATGCCGACCGCCCCCACGGCGACCCCTGCCCCGACTCATCACAACGAGGAACTGTGGTCGTGGTGGTTCCAGACCGGCGGTCAGCGCGGGGATCGAGGGCATGCGCTTGTGAATGGGGTGGGGGGGAACGCGAGTCGGCGTTACCTTGTCGGCGCGGAAGACGGAGTTGTGGACTTGGAGTCTGTAGCCTCGGGTGAGAAATTGACCATCGTGTCCATTTTACGTGCGTCCGGAACGCGAGGAGTTGATTTATTGGGCCACGCGGGTTCGGGATCAATATTCATTCTTGGGCCGAACTTGAGTTGGTCCTGATACACCCTTCCATTCACCTCTAGTGTGTGCCTGGTAGGCGAGCCCCAATGTGCCACGGGCCGGCAGTGGAGATATTGGGGCCATAGTGTGCTACACCATGTTAAAAGGTACCCCTATTCCACCCCCCTCCCCTACCTATTTTGGGTTCGTGCAGCATCTACCAACGACAATGATGGCATGGCCGGGCGGCAGCGGCGGCGTTTGCAAAGCGATACCGGATCGGGGCAGGATATCTCCGTTGTCTGTCTTAGCGCCGAGGGTGAAGATGTGAGCACCGAAATACTGCCGATAAACCTCGAAACGACACAGCCAAACGAGCGAGCGCCAGGGGGTGGACGTACACAGGAAGAACGCAACCGTGCGATGATTCGGATATTGACAATTATCACTTAGCCGGCCAACGCCATACTTGTTTTGCGTCTTTTTGCCACGTTTCGGCAGCAAAAGTCCACCCATCGGGTGCTTACAATGATTTGGCTAATCCAGTCCACCGCTAATTGCGGAGGGAACGTGGACATGCTCATGTAGGAACGTGGACGCTAGATTGAGTGGCCGGCTCCGGTATTCGATGCTTGGGGCGAACACAACGTTTGTCATTTAATTTCGCTGGGTTTTTTGTCGCGTATCCCCTGGCCTTACATATGCCGCCCTCTGCCCCCCCCCCTCGGTATCATGTAGTTGTGGCACGCGACAGCGGGCTCCGCCGCGGAGGATATCGCGCTGTGCGCCGATGCTGGCGAGGGCTGGGTGGCCATCGCCGGCTACACCACGGGCAGCCTTTACTCCGATAGCACCGGTGAGAAAAACGACGCACCCGGAAAAACTCCTCAAAGTCAGACGTGACGGGCTAATGGACGAACACAGCAAGTGCGAAGATTATCAACATAATAAACTACTTCAGGAGGGTGTATGGTGAAGAAAATGGGCCGCCAGGATAACAAAGGGGGGACATGCTTTGATATCAAAGGGAAGACATGCGCACTAATATATTGTGGAATCTCGTTGGTTGATGTTGCACAGATGGGAGGACGTTCTGCTGGACCTGCTCCCTTCTTTCATGCCCCCCGAGTCTCCCGCAGACAAATTGGCCGGTCTTCTGACCGTGATCCTTCTTCCGTTCACCACACTGGTCTTTCACGTAACCGTTGCCATCGGCAGGCGGAGACGATGCGTTCCTGGTGCTGTTGGACCCCGACACCGGGGATGCACTTGGGGGCTGGCAGTTCGGCGGGGAGGGCTCGGAGCGCGTGTATGCCTTGGGCTTGGATCAAGACAGCGGGGATGTTGTCGTCGGGGGTTTCACGACGAGTTCTCTCTTCGCCACGAACGGTGGGCTTTCGATTTGTGTTGTTTTTTTATCATCGTCCCCTTCTGGAACGCGGACATGATGACGCTTGTGGATAGACCTACGGCGTCTTCCAAGCACCCCCGGCATCCTCATCGCAAGAATTCCGAATCACGTTTTGAGACACTCTCTCCAGCTTATGACTGCTCCTAGCCACTGTATGTAGAGTTGCATGCCTACCGATACTTGGTTGGTGTGGTGTCCTTTCCGCACAACGTATCTTCATTACCCCACTCATCTTTACCGCGCTACCTATCCAGATGATGCTGTTTCCCAGTACTTCGTGGCGCGCTTGGACATGGGCAAACTCCTGCTCTCGCCCGGGTGGTTGGACCTAGCCGATGAAGGAAGCGACGTGGTGGTGTGGGGGTGGCAGTACTCGGCGTCTCCCACTGATCCCGAGGTAATGGAAAAGAATTACAACCACCACCACCGCCGCCGCTGACCGAAATCGCACGATCGACGCTCTCGTCAGCCGATCGCACACGCCCATACCATTCTTACTCTTTGGTGCTATGTAGTGGATATCGTGTCTGGACGTGGCTGATGCTGAAGATGCGTGTTTCACCGCTGCATCCATCACCCGTGGCGAGAGTTCTACACAAGCTATTTCGTGGTGTGGTTCCTGCATAAGTGATGACGTTGTCGGGGTACTCGCCACGATCTGTCCGTTACTCCTTTCTGGACTTGTCACCGAAATGAAAGAAAAAAACACTTCAGCTCCCTTTCTTCTACCACCGCCCACAGCCAAGGGCGATCTTCGCAGCTTGAGCCGTGGCTCCTCCGTTTTGGGTCCTAACGTCCATGCATATTGTCCCTCGTCCACGACATCCGTGGCAATTTCTCCCCATAATTTCGTTTCTGACCGGCAGGGCAACACCAGTCGTACACAGTGTTGTACATCGCCAGACAAATGCCCGTAGATAGACCCGTTTCCATTTTCCCAGAGAAACGTTCTGTTTCAAACACTTCCCCTCCAATCGAGTACTCTCCCGATATCTCGCACCCCCCGACCCCTCATTCCTCAAAACCTCTGGCGTCTCTCGTATCCTCGTTTTCGTCTACTCCTTGGAAACACACTTTCCGTTATTTTCTGCCCCATCCCCCCACGCCCGGTGTTTGCCATCGGGGTTGGGTTTTCGTCGCTTGGTAGCGATGTTGCAAAACATGACGATCACTTCGTGAGCTCGGCAACCAGGTTACCGGGGTTTGGATGCCTTTGGTTTGTTGCAGTAACCATGAATGGTGGTCGAGTAGATCATGTTGTGCGGGGTCGACAACCGCCACTCCGCGCAAAGGGGATAATCGCACCACGTTGTGTTAAAATGGTCAAGCACCCTCGAGGCAGTTACACCGTGCTTACAACTGTCTCTGGACGTGAAAGCACCAGAGAATATATTAAGTCATTCGCAGCTGTCATCCGTACGCAAGGAAGTAAGCACAAGATGCCGAACACTAGCAGGATGCAGCGCATCCTTCATGCGACTCGCCGAATACCTCACGGCGCTTCGCGCTTGGTGGTGTGAGAGGCTGGTCCGGTGAGAACCCGGCGTGCTCCGTCCCGACTTTGTAGGGATGCGAGGTCAATGGTCTAACGACTACGGCATGCACGACTATGAGTACGCCCCCCCTCCATCTGCCCCTCGTTTGGCCACGTCTGTCAAATTGGGCTCCAAGGCCATCGTTTCCCTACGAGTCAACTCCGGTACCGGCGTCGTGACGGCTTTGGGCACGAGAGGGTTGCCGGCAGACTGGACCCCACGCGATACGGATTTCGTCCCCGAAGACGATGCTGAGCTGTATTCTTCAGTGTTCTCGCTCGGGCTTGAGACCGGTGAGAGGCGTTCGGCATGCCCACACAATGTCTGCAAGCCACGGAAGAAACTAGAATTATGTGGAAAGGAATGGGCAGAAGAAAGGTGTTCCCAGTGCGAAAACGCACAATCCTGCCGTACTGTCGTACAGACCAGCTTGATGCCCGACACCACCGATGAAACAAATTCGACGCATTCATGATAAGGATAGCTTGATTATACTCCCTCTTCTACCGATCGTTCTAAGGTGATCTTTTCCGGAGCTCGACCGAAGAGGAGGGTCTCGCGGCGGCTGTGGCGGTAGACGAGGATACCGATTACTCTTATGTGGCGAGCTTCACTCGCTCGGCTGACAATTACGACCGGGTCGTTGTGTACAAGGTAATAGGAACTACAGCCTTCATCGGCATGTTGCCTTGGGCATCTCTTTCGCCACCCCACGACCTGCTGATGGTTACAAGTGCATGGCACCGTAGAATAGCGTATCGTTCAAATATCATGGCCTTCCCCAATATCGCATTGAGTGTTGCTTCCCAGATACGTTTAACGTGCGTGGAGGCCCAACGCTCTCCACACGTGTACTCATTCATGGCATTGTTCCGAGCTCATGAAATATTGCTATTTTTTCGCCTATTGCTACAAGGCGCACCCCGCTTTGCTTTGCGCTTCTGCCCAGGAGGGGGTATTTGTTTCACATGACCAACTGCCACACCCAGCGGGGGGGAGTTCACGACAAGAGGGAGATCAACGTTGTTTCCCCGAAGTATTTTTCACTCTCTTCCACTGCTTCTCACCGAAAAGTAGTCGAATGAGGTGACATAACCGTTATCTCTACGAAGGCTACTTATCAGACGCCTACGAAAATGTGTCCTGTTTCGCTGCCTCTGCTGACTCAACAGTCGACACACGCAAGTGGAGCACGAAGGAACATATTGTTGCAAGCAATGACCTCTACTTCAGTACATGACAGGGGAATCTCACTCTTGCACGTTTGAAATCGCTCTCGTTACGATATAGTCTAATACCTCGGTGTCGTACACTTTCTGACCAGCCTTGCATTACCGCACGTCTGGCGTTGCTCTCTGCGGTACTCTTTGCAATCCCTTCGTAAAAAGTGCAAGGGTTTGTCCTACAGTAGGGCAAACGTTTTCGTCGTTCGAAAAAATCGGTTCACTCCGTGCAAGACGATACCTCTAAAACCTGACCGTTTTCTCCTGCCTCAATTATGGTATCTATCTGCGAATGACACCAACGAGAGCACGCTTCAACTGACAAAACACAAGGTTGACGTCAGTAGCGGAAACACGATGTGGAGCTACCAAGCGACTTCTGAGGGCGTGTTCGAGGGGAGGGCTCTAGCCATAGACACTGTCGGGGACAGCGATGGGATTGTCATCGTGGCTGGAACTACAGGCGGCACCAGCGCCCATGGAAGCTGTAAGCCCACCCAAACCAAGCATTACTATTCTAATTCCGAAATACCTGACCGATTCCACCTCCTTCCTCCGAAATTGTTCATGAGGGAAGTCTTGGTTGAAGCGTGCGGTACCCACGACCTCGCTATATTTGTTCGACACCAACCTGTGAGACCCCTCCGGAGGTCTCACTCACTCCTTGGAGGTCTCACTCACTCCTTGCTCTATTTAAGCTGACTGACTGTTCTCTTCATTACAACTGGTGGCATTCCTTGTTTTTTCTCGTCGTCCCCAGATGGCTCAACGGATGCCTTCGTGCTGATACTGGGCGCCGACGACGGGTCCGAGATATGCTACTACCAGGTCAGCATATCCCCCCCGTGACAACAACGTGCCGTCCGAAAGCTGTTTGAAAAACATCCATAAAACAAGAAGCAGTTCCCCCCCAATATATGCTCGTCGAGCAAAGGCAGTGTTGCATGGGGAGTCCCTGCACAAAACCCGATGTTGGACTTGTCGAACTGCGTTTACATGGAACGATGTCGTGGGATCTCGGGGAGAAGGGGTGTTCCGTTAAGCACTGTGTGCTTCGTGCGAAAACGTCTTCTCTACAGACCGCATCCGTTGAAGACGTTATTTTGTTTTATTTTTTTCGATGTTGTTGTCCTCAAGGTATCGCCGCTTGCCAATAAGCTGGACAAGTTTGCTGTAAACATTGGGCCTAAAGACGTTCGATGTGTGTCCGAAAAGACCTTTATTTTTTCGCGGGGGAATCGGTGTCGCAAGGGGATACCCCCTCTTGGTCCAAAGCCAACACAAAGGTGAAAAATGAGCATGTGTCGTGTATGAGGTGGACTGTTGATCGTGTGAAGCCTTTTCGTTTTCGTCCGACTACCGTCGTCTAGTGTGGCCAGTTGCAAAACAACGCAAACCAGCGGGTACGCCTCTACTGGCGCGCATATTGCTTTTACTCTGTACACAGACCGGCACGAGTTTCGCCGACGTTGTTACCGGGATTTCCGTGGATAGCTCCTCGACAGCGTACTCACAAGTGACACTTGGGGGTTACACTGAAGGTTCCCTGGCTGGTCTGAATGGTGAGAGAAGATATATGCCACGGCCATTTTCGTTTTCGATACGTAGTTTCCTGATTTCTTGGAACCAACCGCGACCAGTAGTGTAGGCTCTCAATTGCAGAAGGTTGATACACTTCGTGGGCGCACGCACTTGACTAGAGAACTTCGAGACACTGGCGTTTCGACATACACCGCTAATTTGTCGCGGACATTGCATACGGATGTATACTGGACTTGTCACGGCTGTATTAGTCGAGGCCGCACATCATGCAGCAGGTAGCATGTGAACGTGGGAAACCTGGAGTCATCCTCCACCGCTGCCGCGCTACGTGGGTGTATGCGCAACATCGTCTTGCTTGTGGATCGTTGCATGTTTGTCTCGGTTTGGGTACCAAACACATCAATTTATCTTTCTTGTGGTTATCCGGCGTCACTGATGTGCTCGTCGTTTTTGGGAATCTCTTGTTCACGCCGGAAAATGCCACGTTCCAAATGACTTAGCCGGCGGGGCCGACATGTTCGCGATTGGCGTGAGGCTCGCATCGCTCTGCCCGGACGTCAGCAGCTCTACGTCCTCCGCCGCCGAAATTGAGGTGCATCCCACCTGCTGTGGGGTGCTTGATGTTGTTCTCCTGCGGGGTTCTGTCACAGAGGATAGAGAGTTTGAGACCTTGTTGGTCGTGCATATGCTCTTGCGCCAACACCCCAGTTTCAAAGGAGGTGGCCGGCAGTGGAGAAATACGTGACGAGTTCAAGTACTTGTCCCTCTACCTTACTTGCGCCCTTGGATACAACTCTAGCGGCAGGGTTCCTTCGCGGCCGGAACGGTTTCAATCCTGGCAGGCGTCGCTGTCGCCGGCGCCGTCGTGAGCACCATCGTCGCGCCCGGTGCCGCCGTAGCTTCCGCTACGGCAGCCGGGGGGGGGAACACGGCTGCTGCTGCCGCTGCTGCTGCCGGGGCTGGTGCTGTTACGACTACCGCCTCCGCCTGTCCCGAGGCAGGTGCTGCGGGCGTGGGCGCGCTCGTGACAATCCTTTCGGTGAGGGCGAGGTCGCATTCCCTCATGTCCTGCGAGTTTGGCGCCCCTCCCCAAAGTCGTTTAATCTCAACGTACACGGACTATGTTTCCACAAACCAGACCACCTTTTTGTACGCCGAGAAGTGCCGAGAACAAGGCGTGCAGAATGAGCCTCATGGGAGCAACATGACACGCAGCGAAGTCTGCCTATCTTGCTCCGCCAGTCCTGGTGGCTATGGGATGCCGCAACCCCGGGTTTGACACTACTCCAGAAGTATTTTTAAGGCATCACCGATGGAATCTTCCCACTGGGTGCCGCACGTTGTCCACCCTCTCACCCGTGACACTGTTGTGGCTGACTTCTAGGCCGGGCACGGCGCTGGCGGCTTGGTGGGCAGCACGCCGGCGCCCGGAGAGGCGTCGTTCCGCAGCCCTTCGGCATCCATCGGCTTCCTCATGATGATGCAACTGCAGTTTCTGGCGACCCTGTCCCTCGTGCAGAGCGTCCACGACTCTGCGTCCTTCCTCTCGTCGTTTGTGGAAAACCTCAGGTGCATTGTTTGTGTTGTTTTCGTCTCCGTCGTGATTATTGTTGCTGCTGTTGTTGTAGCTGATGCGGTTTGTGCGTACCGTTCGCAAACTTCGTACGAAGCTGCGGAAACGTACGCACAACCCGCAAGTCCAGGGGCAAGCGAAACAAACTTACCCCGCCCACTTCTAGTTCCATGGCTTTCTGATGACGTGGGCTACCCGTGGACTCTGGGTGGGCTGACCAATGTTTTGACTCCCTTCTTCGCGCTTGTCTCGATCGTAGGGTTGTCCAATCACGTTCGCACTTGAAACCTCGTGCTGATCTCCCGTCGTCGTTGCCACAGATGGGTGAATCTGTGGCTTCCGATGCCCTCGAGCTTGACTCCGGACTCGTGCGAGATAGCGGATGCACAGGACCTCATTGACGAGGGCGTTTTCTTCGGCAACACCACACTCGTGCTTGCTATCCTTCTCGGGATCTTCTTAATCCATGTGGGGGCAGTGTCGGCCGTTGAAGCTTACTGGCTTGCCCAGGTAGGGCTACCATGTTTCACTGCCATCGCGCAGGCACTCTGATTCGCTCTCTAAATCTCTCACCTCTCCCTGGTATTTTTCTCAAAACCGATTAGGTCCATGCGGGTAGTTTCAGGTTGCAAGATGGCTGAAGATTTGAGGAGTACAATTTCTTTGGGTCCTAGAAAGACTGCGTGCGAGAAGTAAATGGTGCAGCTGCACTTCTAGGTGGACTACAAAACTAAATACTGTCATTTCGTACCCGCACTTCAACGAGGGCGTGACACCTTGTTGTTGCTTTTGTCTGGCTGCCTGTTGTGATTGTCAAACTTTCAAACGATGGCCCCTGTTCGTCACCTCATGTTAGTGCGGCGGTTGTCGGTTGCCCGCTCTCTCCTACGAAAGTGCACGAATTGCGCTGTACAATACGAAACGTAACAACCCCTTCACCGTGTCGTCCGTAGTTGCGGGCGCCAGCCAGTTCTACAATGTGCTCGCCGTCAAGCCTCACCGCCGACGGTTCATAAGCTATTCCACTTCCAAGTGTAATTTTTTCAGATATCTACACAAGTTTCTTGTTCTACGCTTACTCTTACAGACCGCGATCACTGCGAAACTCCACAGGATCGCGCTACCGCCGCACTAAAGTCTGCGCGACAGATGTACGGAATGTCTGCGGCGGATCTCGACCGACGGATGTCGGCTAGTGGCCGCGGCCGATTCCCGGCGATAGCGAACGATCCCAGCAACGGCACAAATGGGGTACCTCCGAGGAGTGGGCCCCTCGATGACTTGATATCCTTCGAAGATCTAGAAGAGGATGCGAGGTCGAGACCATCGTCCCCCGCACCGGCATCTAGTGTAGGGTCACCGGTAAGTTCGGTTTGTACTCGTGCGAGGGCAGTCACAACCTCGTGCACACCAACCTGGCGGCACTTTGGAAATTGTTAGGGATTTAATGAGGTACAGCTGGTGGTAGCGATCTCCCAGGTTGGGTTGGTGCTCAAATGTTAGTTATCATAAGCGCTCTATTAGTGGGCTGTGTCTGCACAGTCCAACTCAAAGGGAATGTATTGCATCTTTTCTTGGGAATTCGGAGTCTGCGACCCACTTTCTGAACGTCGATGGTAACCAACGAGCGAAAAAAACCCGGTCGCCCCTGAGTCGCACTCTCCGGCACAAACGACGGTTTGGGTGAGACACAGCCCCAACGTTTCTCCTACTCCTCTTCCTGGCGATGTGTCCATCCTCCTTGTTCGCCACACAGACAGAATCACCTTCACCTCCCCTCCCCCCCGAAGCATACGTCTCTAGCCAGCATGACACGAAAGTTCCCCTCTGTAACTCTCCCAGCGCAAAGAAGTCTTCGCGTTACAAAGTTGATCGTTCCACTTCGGCTCGAACCATTTCCCATTTGTCCGTGTTACCACCAACGGCAGCGTTGTATGTCACCCGGGGGGGGGCTGATTCGGCACCGTCCGAACGGGTCTCCCGCTTCTCGCACCTCTGGCTACGCCGACGATCTCCCCTCCGGCACTGAGAGAAACTCGAACGGTGATTGGTCGCAGCCGAACAACAGGGCGGAATGGGCGACCTCCCAAGAACCGATGCAGCAGCAAGGCCGTGCGGCTTCCATACCCAGAAGCCACAACGGCGATGAATGGTCTTCCATCAACGAGTCGGTATCGCCTACCACCAAATCGCTTAAATACGGTACGGCGTGGTCGCCGGCGGGACGAGCGGGGCGAACCCTCACGCCACCCGGCCCTAGCAGCCTGGTAAAAAGGTGTAGCGACAAGGGAGGCGGGTCGCTTCCAGGTAGTCCAACTCGCGACGGATATCGCTACGGCAGGACGGACCAATTGGTGAGTTTCCGTTCGGGAATATCTGAACGGTGTGTGAGCAGTTCTCATCAGGTATAACAGGACGAGTTCTATGGCATGGTCGCTGATTCTCCACGGGGTTGTCCAGTGTTTCTCTGTTGACTTCAGTGGGGGCACTCGTGTCTGGAACGAGTCTTCTAGCGTATTTGCCCGTTAGTGGTCCACTCGGGACCCCAGTCTTCATTCTCATCCTTCTGCCCAGAAGGCTCCACTAGCCACATATAGCATCGCAACAGCCGGCCTTTAGTACTCAGTACGACGTACCTCTCAGGTCATTATGTAAGGGCTGCTTACATGTCTTTTTACACTGACTTTTTCCCCGGTCTCTTGGCCGTTCGTTCCTCGTGCCCCCAACCGCCTTCGCATGTCCAGTACCCCCACCAGTCAGCCGTCTCGTCAGTAAGATCGGCCTCTCCCCCTTCGCTACCCTGGGACAGCCCCACCCGAGACTTCACGGGTGCACCGGCCGCCTGCCGAGTATCCAGAGTGACCCATCGACACGAACTAGACATATCTGGGAGTGGGTACAGCAATCAGGATAGACGCAGTGGGGGTGGCGAGCCAATTGTGGATCTGCTTGGCATGGCCAGCGTGTTGTCGGCCTCAGTAGATACGGCAGCAGGGGTCGCGCCGGAAGAGGTGGGCGCAGGTACGCCGTCGTTCCAGCAACGATCGGCGGCCGTTATCAGCGACAGCGGCAGCACTTTTGGCGACGCGATGGTGGCGTACTCGAGCGTTGGCGTTTCGAGGGACGGCCTCGACGGTGGAGGTGGTGGTGATGGCCTTCGTCGACGCCGAGGCGACAACTTTGCCGGAGATGGAAACCGCTCAGAAACTCCTCGATTGTTCGAAAGGTGAAGCGCATCAGGCTTCTGCATAGGAAATGGAGTTTTTGTGGCGCTTTTCAGTTTTTCGAAAGAAGCACCAAAGGGAAAAGAGGACCCCGACGGTGGGAACATGTCAGAGATTGCTAGAAAGTATGGAGCGTGATACCGACTAAATGGTTGTGCCGTAGGTTTCCGAGAATTCTGTCTGTCTTGGTGGAGGAACCTGCATGTTAAGGTGCCGAAAAATACGATCGGGAGCTGAAACGTCAGTAGTCGACCGAGAGGGTAGTTTTCCGTAGTGCTGGTACTATTTGAGGAAACAGAATGACTCAAGCCTCTCAGGTGGGCACCCGATACCTCATGAGACTAGCACGACACCTTGTCGAGCGACTCACAACAAGTTGACGAAGCGAAGAAACTATTACAGCGATGCGCGAACCTCCTTTCTTCAAATTGGATCAGCCATCTCCCTTTCTTTCCAACAATATCAAAACTCCAACCTCAGCGACATGGATGCAAAGCCAACGGACCAGGACTTGGACGACCATGATGGCAGCGACCCCATCCTGGCGTGCCGTCGCCGGTCTCGCTCCATGTGGCTCCACTTCCCGCACCTCGAGCTCCTGTTCTTGTTCTGGGCCTTTGAGGGTGCAGTTGCTGCTCAACTTTCGGCCCTGAAGAATGCCGAGTGTGCGCACGTGTTCTGGCTGGCTCTAGCAGCCCTGGTAGGTTCTCCGTTCAGGCGCTTGCGACAGTCGTCTGGTCCCGCTAGATAGCCCGTTCTCGTGTTTGTTCTTGCATTGGTTGTGGATAACAAAGTTCGCAGCGGTGCCGACTGAGTGTCCTTGCTCCTTTTCAATGAGCTGAACAATCCAATCCCAAACAAGCTCCCCCTGGGACACCACAAGATGTGGAATCGCAATACGGAAAACCGCCGCACGACTCTTTCTAACTTGTCTCTTTCGGTAAGCACAACAGCACAAGGACAATTTGCTCGCGCGAGAGTAAGACGCTCAGTCTCAACCTTACGCACCCACGCTCGCTGCGTCAACTGTTGTCGTCGGTGTGCAGCTGCTGTTTCCTGTGCTGATGCTGCTCATGGTCTGGCGTACCATCGCCGTTCGCGTCCGTCCCAATGAGCTACTGGTCTTCAGGACCAATGACAACAGCGATCAGCAGGGGAATAACGGTCTATCCCAGGCAGAAGGGGCGCTTGCCAAAGACGGGGGAGGTCCACCAACTGAGATGCTACAGGATGACGCGCAGGAACTGCACCAGCGGGGGGTGTGGAACAAGGTTTGTTATTGACCCGAAGAAAGAAACTCTAAGGAGCGCAGGTGGCTCTCTTGCTCTCCTGCTCGGTACCATCCGCTCGCCCACGCTCGCCTCCGCTTTTCGCTTGGCTGGGTATGAGGAACCACCTGAAAGACACCGACGACCAACGCTTGTGGAACCCATGTACCCCGTTCCGAAGCTTGAGGCTCATGAAATGGTAACGGGAGGAGGAACCGGTGGACCGCAGTAGTCCATCGTAACTATCTCTCTCTCTCTCTCTCTCTCTCTCTCTCTCTCTCTCTCTCTCTCTCGCGTGTAACTTACCATGGCATGTGGATGGTGTTTCCTCTTTCGGAAATACCCGTGATAATACCCAGAATTTGCATCGTGGCCGCGTCCGTGTTGAATCTGAGGCCACGCACGTCATCTCTACCCTACCCAGGGTGATTCGACGACATCGCCACCACCATCGCGCCACAACCACCCCCACGTCCATTTCCACCATAGAAGACAGCAAAGCGACACATCTACATTTTCCCTAGCGTCCTGAGCAGGAAATCAGAAAAGAGCTGTTGAACGTTCACCTGTCCCTGGGCACGTATGGCTGCTTCGATTTATTATCACGATTCCCCTTCGGTCGCCCCTGCCACCGATGACTTCAGCCCCCCGCCAACTTCCGTTGAATGGATCTGTTGTTTGTGTTTCCAGTTCGTCCACGGTTGGCTCCAGAAGGGAATGCTGTTTTCATGGGCGGATACCGGTCAATGGGAATCGGTGGCTACCAACGACCAGGCACGAACAGTTTCTCTGTCCAACCTGTCGCACTTCGTTGTTATCGGCATTTAATATTCAAGCTATCAGCAGAGAGTGAAGTGGGCTACATCGAGGTAGCAACGTTGTGCAGTCCTCGTTGTGGATACCGTTACTCTTTTTTCGTTGTTCAACGAGGTTGGCCAGGCTCCCTTTACCAGCTACAGTACGCGAAAGCAGACGCCAATGTAACTCTTCCTTACATATCAAGTTCATCCACAGAGAGGTGAACAAGCATACTGAAAGACTAATCGCTGGACTGAAGTATCCGATGGACCTTTCGCGCGCTTTGTACAGACTTTCCTGCCCGCTGGATATTTCGTGCTTTGGGCAAACGTTCCTGCCCGATGGATAACTCCGCCGAAATGCCTGCTCTCGTTGTGTTTCAGGATGTTAAACGCGAGGCCGACTGGTTCCGCATCGGGTTTGAGCCGTTGTTCATCGACCTGTCCAAGCTCGGGTGCTTCTACCTTGTGCTTCTCTTGGTCAAGGTATATGATTGACTGTCATTCTTCTCTGTCTGTGTATGTCATAGGTTGGAACCAAAACCGTACTGTTTGTCGCGCCTCTTGATGCATTTGGCGTACTCGTCGTGGACAATAGCGCCACAAACCGTTTATTTTCTTCAGGTGGTCATATTCTAGGATATGATTGGAAGAGACTATTTGTCGAACCCACTGATCGTCCAATCCTATGCCATCGCTACTGTCGGTACCATTCGCCTCTCCCTGAACGCAATCCGCCAGTGGTTTGGCTTGGCATGCGTGGGAGTTCTGGTGGAGGACAGTGTACAGCAGCTTCTTTACATGATCGTCCTACACGCACTGGATCTTGCTGTGTTAGTCAGCGCATCTCCTTTCGCCAACAGGTATACGAATCAACAGTCAGCCGCACGTCACGTTGCAAAATCGATTTGCGCAATACGCTCTGGCACACCGGTGTGTATACCACACGTGCCGTCAACTGCGTAAGAACCGATTCTGCTACGACGGTCAGAACACGTGATGCTAGAACCCGTTGTCTCAAACCCTGGTCGAACTCCCTGTTGAAGGCGTCTTGTCTGGGGAATGGCAAAATGTATGTGACAACCGCATCTTGTTTTACTCCCGGCGAGACCCATCGCCGACATCCCTTTTTCGGAATAGCTTCCTCTTCAAGGCAATTGCAACTTTTCCTTCACTATTTTCCTTTCAAGATGAACGCGAACATCGGAGGTACGCCTCCCCCCCTCGTGCATTGGCAAACGATTTGGTGCTGGAAAGGGTGCGTTTTTGTCCTTTTCACAGACAGGCATGATATGCTACACGACACGTTTGTAATGACACCGGAGCCCTCCTCGCGCGTATTGTATTGCGTCTTGGGCAACAGGGTCATTAACGGGATGAACGTGCTGCTCACTGCTGTGGACTGCGCAAGCTCGGCCTTGATGCTGGGTGCGGCCGGTTTCGACGAGGAAGAGACGTCGACATTTATCGACATCGCCTTCGTCCTCCAGCTGATGGCCCTCGTCGGTGAAATTCTGACGACCACTGTACTGCAAATGTTTCTTCCATAATAGGAATTATTCCGAGTCGTCGGGGTAGTAGGCAAAGGAATGGTGTCTCTTCATCGGGTGTTTAAGATCACTGGCATGAGACAGCAGCGTGCAAGTAGAGTGAATTCCAGCGGGAGACTAGTGAGCATCACTGCTGTAGCCAAAAGACGCAAAATGAATTACAAGTGATGGGCGACGGCATGCAGACCATGCCAAAATTGGCACTGCAGACGCCAAAGGCACGTACTTGGAATATTGCTTGTTTTCCTAAATGCCCAGGGGACTCGCACACCTGGGCGCAAAGGGATGTGACTCGAAACCGAACGAAACCGAGAACGCGAAACCAACGGGGTTTAATACACCAATCGAACGGTTTCAACATATGCGAGACCTCTATCTTGTCAACAGCATTCACTTGCTCTTGGCCGTGGATTGATACGGATTCACTTCCTCCCCCCGCGTTCCAATTCAACGCCCCCCGAACGCATCGCAAGCAGCTCTGGTGGTCCCCATATACATCGACACCGGTGTCGCTCTGGCGATCTGGGGCGTGGAGAAGCTAACTAAGGAATGCTCGGCGAGGGACGACGACAATATCCCCCAAAAGCTTGACGTGAGATGCCATCAGAGTGCTCCGTTGTGTGATATTGCCTGTGTGTACCGAGAGTAGCACATCATTCCCTTTCCCACGCACGCAGCTCAGTGAGTGCTTCCGCCGTTGTGGTCCACAAGAGTTCCAACATTTTCGAGCGAAACGTTGACCAAGGAAGCAAACATGTGCTTCACGCCAACGGTCCGAATGGCTCGGTTCATGCACACTGACGTTTACTGTAGTTTTCAGGTGGTTCGAACATCTGTGTTGCGTATTGCCACGAATCACGCTCGAACGCAGCGAGCTTTGTGCGCGTACCCCCTCATTTTGCCACGCTTACACTCTCACAAGGCCAACAGACTGTACTTCCTACTCAATATTACGACATCATGAACTGCAAAACGATCTTGAATTTTTCCTTGCTGGCTCGTCGTCACACGAATACCCAGACGCCAGGAAATGAAGACCAACGCGATCGTGAGTACGTCCGGCGCTTCGCCCGACGCTCCTGGCCCCGCTTCTGGTGCTCCATGGTGTGCCACAACATCCATGCTTGCATCACCGACATCCGCGAGGGTGTCCGCGCCCCAGCCAGTGTCCAACGTCGTCGCCGCCACCTCCAGCTCCAGAACGGCAAGCTAGGGCTAGCGGGAACGAGCGGTGACTGGTCGTCTTGGCTGAAATGCTGGGGTAGTAGAAAAGCCGCTCCTACGTTACCCGTGCCGACATCGCTTCCACACAGCTGCATGTCCGGGGACGAGTGGGAGAAGACGGACAGGTTTTCTTCAAACGGCGTTGGCGGTGGTGGCGAGAGCCCCCCGCGAAAATGGCAGCAGCAACAACAACATGGGAAGTGGACACTACCACCCAAACTTAGGGCGGCCGTCTATGGGGCGGGGTCGTGGGGTGGCGAGACGATGATGATGAGCACTAGAAGCGTAGTCGATCGCGCGCCACCATCACCGGCAGGTCCGTCTGGCAGCGATAACCACGGTCACAGTCGTGGTGGAGGATCCGAGGCGGTAACGGCATCGGGGAGCGTTGGGGATTCCGGACACGGAGGAGGGCGAGGGCTGGGAGTGACTACGAGCGGACGGGTGCTGATTCCGTCCGTTTTCTGCTCGACGCCCATCCCAATTGAAGAGCCCCGCCGAAAACGCTTCCACAGTGCGGGACACAGCGATGCTCCCCAGCGTGGACGCAGCGGAAGCCGCGAGGTGGAAGGCTCGTGTCGACGTGGAGGAAGCGGAGGATTCGGAGGAGGAGGATTCGGAGGAGGAGGAGGAGGGGGGGGGGGGGGG